GTAACAAATGGGTCTTAAAAATTAAGCACAAGGCTGATGAGTCAATTGATAAGTACAAAGCCTGTCTCGTGGCGAAGGGCTATACCCAAAGACAGGGTACAGATTATGATGAGACATTATTCCCAGTGGTGAGATTTGTCTCTATTCGCCTAATTCTAGCTATTGTCACACATTTGTATTGGAACTTTTCTAAATAGATGTTAAGACTTCATTTCTCAATAGAAAACTAGATGAGGAGATCTATATGGATCAATTAGTAGTCTTTAAGATCAATGGACAAAAGTGCTAAGTATGCCGCCTCAAAAATTCTATTTATGGCTTAAAGAAATCATCTAGACAATGGTCTTTAGATTTCACAAAGCCATCATTTTAATTGGGTTTGAGATAATAGAGGAAGACCATTGTGTGTATGTCAAACGATCAAAAAAGAGCTTCCTTATCTTATCGTTGTATGTTGACGGCATTTTGTTAGCTGGAAATGACATAGAGATGATTGCCACCATTCAAGAATGGTTGTCCTCTACTTTTGAAATGAAGGACATGGGAGAGGCAAATTATATGCTCAGAGTTAAGATCTTGAGAGATCGCTCTAAGAGGCTTCTTGGTTTGTCTCAAGAAACTTATATTAAGAAGATCTTAGAATGGTTTCGTAAGCATTATTCCAAACCCATTGACACTCCAATTGAGAAGGGATGTAATATGAGCATTGATTCTTGTTCTAAGACAGATGAGGAAAATAAACAAATAGAAAAAGTTCCCTATGTAAGTGCAGTTGGTAGTTTGATGTACGCTATGATGCGTACTCAACCAGACATATGTTTTGTAGTGGGATTAGTCGGCCATTACCAGAGTAACCTAAGACTTGTTCACTAGCAAGTAGTGAAGAGGATTTTTCGCTATCTTCGTGGGACGATAGATCTCATTCTTTGTTATCAAGGTGGAGATTTGAGACTAAAGGGATACAGTGACGCAGACTAAGCTACTGATAAAGATGAGTGCAAGTCTACCACTGGTTATTCGCTTTTACTTAGTAGAGCATCTATTTCTTGGTGTAGTAAGAAACAATCATTCATTACTTTGTCTACGATAGAGTCAGAGTACATTACTTGTCCAGTGATAGTACAAGAGGCTGTTTGGGCGATGAGATTCCTTCAGCGCCTTGGGATAACGACTTTTGCAGATAAAGCTGTTATGATCTATGTTGACAGTTTGGCAGCTTTGGCATATTCTAAGGATCCCAAGTATCATGGTAGAACCAAACACATCAACATTCGATTTCACTTTAATCGAGATGTGATTACACGAGCGGAGGTAGTCCTGCAGCATATCTAGCAGGATGGTGGCTGATCCACTTACTAAAGCCATTACTAGAGATGCTTTTCAAACTCATGTTAAGAGTATAGGACTTTGTATGATTTTATGTTTTTTTGGATACCTCATTGACTTTGTTGGATATTTTTGAGTATATTATGCATAATGTGGTTTTATGCAGTAATTAATACTATTAGCACACTATGTATAGCTAGTTTGGATACCTCATTAATACTATTGTCACTGGGCTTATATCGACCTTCTCAAACTAGTGATCAACCTGGCGCTTGTAGAGTGAGAGGGATGAGACATTAATTATCTTGGCGCTTGGAGAGTGAGCGAGGTAAATGTTTTGTAACGTGAGAAGTGAACAAAACCGATTTATTATTATAAGATGTCGTCTTAGCATTGGCTAGGATGAGACTTTAAAAAAGTCAAACATGAAGTTATTCACTACTTTATGAAGCCTAAATATAGCTGAATGTGAGGTCTTAAATAAGCACTTGATGAGCGAATATGCTAAGAAACTCACGTTAGGCATTTGTATAGCGACTAGACTAGGATTCGTATGGTGTTAGAGAGTGACAGACCTAATTTAGTGGGAGCTCCGTCGTAGCATACATATCATACTGTATGTGTTACTATCGACCACTTAATGGAGTGGCTAGATGGATCTTGTCTCTAGCACTGTGTGAGCCTTGTTAGGCCAACAATAGGCCTATTCTATACCCTTGAACCTGAAACTATGCCATGAATTGATGACTTGATGTCGCTACTTTAGCATATCATCCAAGGGTTGTGATGAATACAATCCAGAGGACCATGTATAGGAAAGCAGTCAAGTTTGAGTGAATTGACATGAGTGGCTAGGAAAGATTGTTTGAAATCAGATCCTTGTATTGTAGCTCATTGCCTGGGCGATTGTGTCTGATTTTAGATCACGATATAATCATAAGTACATATATAGTGTTGAGATCAAGCATGTTTATAAGTTATGACTCGCGAGAGGATTTAAAATGTTTGATTTGGTGTGATCCAATTAATCTGGGGTGTAGACGAGATATTTCAAGTGATGTGCTATGTTAGTTTATGGTGACTTAATATAACACTCCTATCTTATACTTTCTCGTCAGGTCATACACTTCATTTTTCTGTATGAATGATGGATTGAATGAGAGATTGAGAAATGATAATTGAGCATATAACACATGATGTAGATGTGTGGATGAGTGGGAGATGTTGGAAATCACGTGGTACACCATGTGGTATACATGGTGTAACCTAACCTTGAAGGCCACATGGTCTTGGACATGTGGTATACATGGTGTGGCCTAACCAAGAGGTACAAATGGTTTGCCATATATGATATAAGGACTCATGCTCAACATTGTGTACACACACCAAAAATAATAAGTTTTTTCTCTGCTCATTTATCTTGAGGCTACCATCTTGAAAGTCTAGAAATTTGGAGTGTGGATAACTATTGAGAAACTCTACTAGCTTCTCAATTGACGGGGGTTTTCAAGACGAGACTCGTAATTCAAGTATTCGATCCAAACCATCTCCGCATCAAGTAATATTATTACCCATATATTTTTCCTTCAAAGTAATAGAAACCATGAAATGAATCAGAAAACGAAACTAAACCAAAATTTTTTGTTTCAGGTAGTGAGTTTGATAGAATTCTTCATGTGACTTGTATTGATTTTTTAAGCAAAACAATCTCTGTTATTGATAGTTGATGAATTTTCACTAAAAGCTATAGGCAATAAGGAAATAAACTCTATCTTAGGCCTCGTTTCGGAACCCACCCATTTAGCTAAAAAGTCAAAAAGTTACTAAAAAGGCCAAAAAGCCAAAAACCTATACTAAAAAGTCAAATATTTTCTTTTTTCTCTACTTTTTGCACATTTTTTTCGTAAAAAGCCAAAAAGTCATCCCAAATATACTAATTTTTTTTAGTTCATATTTTAGCCAAATAGCCAAAAAGTTACTAAATTAGCTTTAAGGCCTCGTTTGGGAACAGGCTAATTTAGTAACTTTTTGGCTATTTGGCTAAAATATGAACTAAAAAAAACTAGTATATTTGGGATGACTTTTTGATTTTTTACGAAAAAAATGTGCAAAAAGTAGAGAGAAAAGAAAATATTTGACTTTTTGGTATGAGTTGTTAGCTTTTTGATTTTTTTAGTGACTTTTTGACTTTTTAGCTAAAAAGGTCACTTACCAAATAAGGCCTAAATAGCATTATTAGGAGACTAATTAGTAATCAGTAATGTCATGGTGTAATAGTATTAGGTGAGAATATGTATGGCTAATCAATCATTAATTTTTTTAAAAAAAATAAAATAATTAATAGTTGCATGAAAAACTATAATATAACCATTAGTTAACTATGTTTTCATACTTATTGTGAATCAGCTGGCTGATACTCATGTAATTTTCATTTTCAGCTATATATCATTATCTTATTTAACTTATTTTCTTAAAAGAAGTTGACTAATCGTGTTTTATTGTAATTTTAAATTGTAATTTATTTATTTATAGATTATTTAATTAAAAAAGTGAGATTAGAGTTGAGCAAAAAAAGAAATATCGCAAATCGATTTGATCAAGGCTAAACTACTCGATTTAGTTTGGTTTTCTCACTTCATGATTTGACCTTAGTTTTTAAAATATTTAAACCATAATTCATGATTCGATCCATGATTTTATAGTTATAAATTCATTTTGGAACTGTACCATACCAATTATATATATATATATATATATTTATAATTTGTTAATTAGCATAGACACTCAAATATCTTATTAAATATATACATGAGTTATATCTCCTTACTTTTAAAGGTATGTTTTTGAATAATGAGAAAATTAATTTTAAATGTTGTTTAGATTATAAATGGTCATATTATGAATGATAATAATATTTCTAAAAATCATCACTCCAAACGGCGCCGTGCGGATTCTTTGGGAAGTTGGAGACGTGCTATAGTCTGGAAGCAGATGTGGGGCATCTACAGAGGCGTTATCATAGTGCCGGAGAAAGGACTCGCTGAAATCGTCATCGAAACAGACTCTACCATGGCTCAAGAGTTACTCATGAATGGGCCACCTCAGAATTGCCCATACAGATAAATTTTGGAAGACTTGCGCTATCTACTCCATCGGTGCAACTGCTCCGTCCGCCATATTTTGCACGAAGCTAACCAATGCGCTGATAAACTCACCAACATGGGAGCTGATCAAGTTGAGCCACTAGTGGGACTGGAGGAACCACCTTTTGAAGTCAGAAGTCAGATTGTAGCTGATATGGTGGGAACGGAGTATCGGAGGATCTAGACTCTGAATCTCCCTCCACCTTAGCTGTGTTTTGTTGTTTCTTTCTCTTCTGCTGTACCAAAGTAAATAAATAAATAAAATCTCGGGGTCCCCTTTCTTTGTCAGACATTTGTGTATCCTTCTTGAGAAAATTGTATTGTTACTTTTTTTTCATATAAATATAGTAGAAGCTGATTATGTTTTGGTTTCCTAGTACAAGAATAATGAAGAAACAAATACAATCAAGTTGCTTATCCCATCTCAAACCCAAAGAAGCCATTTCAAAACAATAACCAAATACAATCTCTCTCCTAACCAAAAAATACTGTCCAAAAAAAAAAAAAAAGAAACTATTCTCAGCAGCAAATTCAAAACTCAGTACTCTTCCCTCCCTCCATCTCTTGCCTAATTTTCTCTACTCTATCAAGAGCTCCCTCAATTGCTATGTCAAATGCATCTTCAAGGGTCTCCAATCTTGACATTGGATTTGCATATATGATTCTAGGAATCAGCCTCACAACCTCTTCCCTCATTGCTGCCACTTCTTCTTCCGATATCTGACTCAAAGTCTTCTCAATATTCACTCTCCCATCTTTAATCTCATCCTCTGGTATGAACACAGAATATTTTGAATAATTCTTGGGTAAATGCCATATATATTGCTCGTAAGCTGATCTAGAATCAAAGAAAACAGGAATGCACCCTGCCAAGATCGAATCAAACGTTGATCGCCTAGTAGACGTATCACCGGAAGGCTGCAAACAAAACTTGGATCTTTGAAAGATTTCTATCACATAAGTTGGGTTATCACACTTGTTTTCGCCCGAAGCACAATTCAAAAACTTGCATTTTTTTCCAGAATCAAGGCACTGGTTAATAATCTGACTCCGGATAGAATCTTCATTGTTGGGTCTTGGAGCACCCGCGAAAGAGAACAAGTATTGCTTTTTCATTTTCCTTAATTTGTTCTGCCATTGAAACACCTCGTCATCGCTCGATGGATGGAAATAAGTTGGATATGGAATCGCAAAATCTCTATAGGTTTCGGCTTGGGAATATGATTCGATTATCAAAATCGTCATGTTTTTGGATTCGGGTAGTGACATGAGTTTGTTTCCCCAATCGGAATCGTTGTCGGTTTGTCTCCTAAAATCCCATGTAACCCTTCCTGCAACAAAGAAATGATCTCTTCCACCCATAGATTTCCACTCAGGCTTCTCAGAAACCCATTTGGCTAATTCAATGGGTACTGAATCTCTTATTGAAGTGTTGAAACCCCAAAGGTATCGACCGATGTCAAGGCCAGCGTAGAATGGTACATACATGATTGAAGCCAAAGATGAATTGTTGGTTAAGCACTTGTAGTTGTTCATTCTGTTGTGGAAAATCACTTCCAATAAAAACTGGTTTGTTTCAAACCAACTGATATTGTTTTGGAAAATCCCATGAAAATCCGCGGCATGAGGACCGAGACCCATGTTTGATACGTACTTGCAAATATCAAACCATTTGGTTAGTGATGAACAATTCTTTAGAATGTCAGTGTTGAATCTGCTAGGAAGATCATGAACATAGATATATCGACCCGAGCACGAATCCAAAACATGTTTGGAGACGAGTTGAGTTGTGTTCTCATTCTCAGAGATAGAATGAGAAGTGGAGTCTCGAAAGATGAATGAATTTGCGTAGTTGGCAATGAAGGTGAGCCTATTGTTGTTGTTGTTGCCTGAAAATGAAGCTGAAGAGAGGAAACAAAGCAATAGAAACCATAAAATGAAGCCGAAAACGAAACCAAACCAGGATTTTTTGTTGTAGTTGAGGTTGATCGAATTCTTCATGTGACTTGTATTGATTTGCCAAGCAAAACAATCTTTGTTATTTGTTTAGTTGATGAATCGTCACTACAAAAGCAATAGGGAATGAGGGAGATAAACTCTATCTTAGACAATGTCTGAATGAAAATGTGACCAAGGGAGAGAGATGACAAAGTTTTAAATGGTAGTGTTAGAGCATCCACATTAGCACAGTCAAAATAATAAAAAAGTAAATTATAACTAATAAATTATAAAATTGTTCCTCCATCAGTCTTAATAATTTTTTTTTTAAATTAATTTTTTGTTAAATTTGCTACAGTACCTCAACAACCTTGTTGAGACACTGTTCATTAGATACATGATTTTTTATTATATTTTCTGGAGCAGAACTGGGCCAAAATCTTTAAACTGATCGTCCACCCGGATATCCTACCGAATGTCCCATGACTGCCTGTAGCAGAAGAAGAAAAATGCTCAAAATTAGCCTAATCGGTTGACCAGTCAACGACAAATTTTATTTTATTTTATTTTATTTATTTATTTTTTTTATAAGAATTGTTTGGATGGCACATCAGCAATTTAATAAAAAAAAGAAAGAATAACAAATACAATAAGAAATTAATATTTTAATAAGATTGAGTTAAAATAGAGAATTTGATACTGTGAATACTAAAAAGGTGACTAGTTAAAATAACAAAAATGAATTTTGGATTATAATTTGAGTAAAAATTTTAAGAGGTTGATGCGGATGCTTTTAGGATAATTAGTAAGGGTTTCGCTACTCTCACGTTGGGATCTTAATTTGAGAAAGTGTTGAGGTTTAGTAGGTTGATTTTGAAATTAATTCCGATAATCTCAAACATTTATTTATTTTTAACTCATTGAGTAAAATATTTATGCTCAAAAATCAAGATGATTGGACATCAACAATTATATATTTGAATCATATTTATTTTAACAAAATGGACCGCAAATATAATTTCAATAATAACGATTCATTTTTTGTAATATAAATTTGATTTAAACATATAGTTACTGATATTTAATAATCTTGATTTTTTGCATGAATATTTTGCTGCACGAGCCCTAGAAAGTGAATGGTTCAGATCATCGAACCATGGCATATGGTGGGCTCCACGAATCCCTCAAGTTCTATCATGTTGAGATTCTAACATGAGAGAAACACAACCCAATTTGTAATTGTTGTAATAGTATTAGGAGACTAATTAGTAAAATTCGGATTGCGATCATCTCCATTCTATATTTGTAATGAAGATGTTTCATTTTATCATCCAATGATAACTGTAATGATATTTTTTATTTAAAATTAAATGTAAATTTGGATTCCTATTTTATAGCCATTAGATATGTAAAGAAAATCCTCAATTATATATATGAAATGAAGAGGATCAAAGTAAAATTCTAACCCAAACTATCAACTAATTATCTCACTCACACACCATTGAGTTTAGAAAATAGATTTAAAAAGTGAACTTATACATCATTTTAATATACAATATTGAGAATATGTAAGGGTAATCAAGTGATGCAATCGTTAATTTTTTTAAATAAAATATTTATTGTGAATGATGATAATATTTTTAAAAATTATAGTTCTAAACAGAACCAAACTACATTTAGTGATTTGGTTTGATTGGGTTCCAAAATTTTCATGGTTTAATTTGATAACAAATTTCATGGAACTGTAGGTTATAGTTCGATCTTAATTTACTCCTAAATCAAACTAATTCCAACCATGCTCCTCCCTAAGTGAAATTTTCTTAATTACAATTTGTTATTGTTCTTTAATTTATTTGAAATCTTTAAATGCATATAGAGAACAGTGCCCCATTTATTTTAGTTATGGGTAAATTACATTGACACTCCCTGATATTTGGATTTAATACATATCATTTTCTGATACTTGGAAAATTACATTTCAACCTTTGTGATTAATAGTCTCATTTCACAAACCTCTTACTATATAAAAGGGAATACCTCCTAGAAGAAAAACAGAGGAAATTACATTGAAAACAAAAAGTAAAGCAAAGGAAAAAGAAAAAAAAAAGAAGAAGAAGAAGTAAAGCAAAATAAAAAATAAAAAAATAAAAAGTTAAAAAAAGAATATATGAATTTAATATTTTTTTTATACCAACGTTAATTCCGTCTAAACAATTACAATGACAAGAAGATTAGTGTAATTTCCTAAACGTCAGTGGTGATATGTATTAAATCTAAACCTCAGAAGGTGTAAGTGTAATTTTACCCTTTATTTATTTATTTATTTTCTCTTACTTCTAGTATAAAAAGACTTTTGAGTTTACTTTGAATATTTACATAATAAAAATAATTATTTGATAGTTTATTTAACTAAACAAATTTAATTTTCATAAATTATCAAAAAATGTACTAATAAGATTCACAATTATTTTTATTTTTTGAATTAATAATTACAAAAACTAATTTATAAATAATATTTATTGAATTCAAGTATTACTATTGAGATATATTGATTGATATATAACAATAAGGGTTGAGCTTCTATTATGTTTACATCTTAATATAAGAAAATTTGAGAGATCTATAGAACCCACCACAGGTCTTATTTCGATAATCTGAATGGTTCATTTTTGTAAGGCATCCGATGTGTATCATTTATATAGATTTTGTAACCCACCACAGGCCTTTGAAATTTCATTTTTGTAAGGCATTCGTAGTCTCCACAATTTTGATTCCTATGGGGGCGAGCCTTGTCAACTGGTTTCGATAGTTAAGCACCACTTGGCAATTGGTAGTATAATACACGTGCTCGTATTAACTGCCGTTAGATTGGTAAATTCCTCGAGATTCTTCAGGCAAAGAGGGGAATATGTCATATATTTTTTTTATTTATTATGTAAAAAATGTATAAAAAAAATAAAAATGTGATAGGATCAAAAATAAGTTTAAAAAATTAATAAATTAGCTTTTAAGTTTGTTTCTAAAATAGGCCTTAATCTAACAGTTGAGAATAAGAACCCAATAAGTTAGCTTGAGGGAGTCATTAGAATTTCAGAGAAAAAAAAAAAATTATGAATTTTCTAAGATAGTATTAAAGATTTCATCGAAAACTCATGGCACCTTGCCCCAAACTCTTTTGTTGCCGATCAAAAAAAAAAAAAAAAAAATATAACTAGCATAATCTACAGTTGCATTAAAAAAAGCACAGGTCTCGGGCAAAATGTTGTAGCCAAGCTACAAAATTTTAAATATTTAATTACATTAATTTTTGATGAAATTATATATTTTATGATTGATATTATAAAATTAGATAAATTACACTGACACTTATTGAGGTTTCTGTTTATTACAGATCTCTTCTCATGTTTGAAAAATTATACTTATCCCTCCGTCTAATTAAAATGACATATTTGCTTGTTAATCTTTATACATGTAAAATAATAAATTAATATTGATATTTTGTTCATGTTATTTTAAGAGAAATAATAATCATCTTTTTTTTATTTAACTAACATAAAAAATTGATTTTTTAAAATATTTTAAGTAACTTTTTTTTTTTTTTTAGATACACCTAATCTAGATATATTTAAGAAGTGTAATATTTTGTCAATTTTTTTTTTTTAAATTCACCAAATACAAAAATACAAAAATGTAGTAAAATTATAATAAATGTGAATGACGGTATTTGGTAATACTGTAATAAATGTGGGTAAATAGTGAAGAAAGAAAAATGATGATGGAAATAAAAATGAAAAATTGTATTTATATATAAAAATTTATACAAAAAATATCATAAAAATGTTGTGATAATAATATTGCTGTAAATATATATCATGTTTATAAGTGTTTTATTTTAAAGTGAAAGATCACTATTAAACTATATCATTATATTTGAAAATTTTATATAAAATTTATATTTGTATATCATCACTCAATAAGAATTTATTTAGGTAAAATTTAATGATAAAGAGCTGTACAATGTCATCATGATGATAGATAGAAGAAATAGTAGGAAAAAGACAAAATAGTCATTAAAATTTTTTAAGGCATTACATTAGCAATTCAGGAAGACTATTTATAATAAGATTATAAATTTCAAGAAGAAAATTATAATTTTTTAAACATGAGAGAAAAATTATATTAAATAGAAATATCAGGCAGTCCGTACAACAACGCTGCTACAGGGTCCAAACATTTCAAGCTCGAATTTGCCCCGAATCCAAAACGACTGTAAGAGAATTGTAATATATTTTACCGGTAAGAGAATTTTATTACATGTTACCAGTAAGAGAATTCAAAACGACGTCATTTTGAGTTTCGAACCAATTTCAAGTTAAACAATTTCGGGTCCTCAAACATTTTCCGTCCGTACAATTTACCCTATAAAATTTTGTTATAAAATTATATATTATTTTTATGTGAGAGTGCGTATGATTCCACACCATAAAATTTCGCAAAAGTATCAGTTTCCGAGTTTGGCGGCCTACTCTTTGGTTTGGGTCCAGAAAAGAAAGTACTACCCACCGCCCATGTTTGCGTACAACAATGGAGAAAACTGTGGACGAAAATTTCTCATCTCTATTTCCAATTTTTAATAGCATTGACTGCTCGTGTATAGGGATGAAATCAAGAATAAGGTTAGACAACTCAAAAATTTGATTAATTTTTTTTTTATCAAATGTCTGTTTGATAAAAATTTTAATAAAATTTTTAAAATCTATAATATTTTTTATCAACATTTCATCATCGTAAGAATCAAAAGATAAATAATATTTTTTTCACTATATAAACAAATATATATGTATATATAATACCATATATAAATTATATTTATACACATAAAAAATTTAAATATCATATAAATAATTTCTAATAGGATGAATCAATTTTTTAGTAGAAAATAAAAAAAGAATGTAAAATCAGAAAAAAATAAGATATATATCTTTTAGGGAAAATCGGTCTAGGGTCCCTCTTCCACTTTTCGTAATGGAAGAATGCTATAAAATCATAAGATCAAGGACCTTAAAAAAAAAAACCCTATCTTTTATATTAAGAGATTATTTTAT